GTGGTACATTTTGCAAGATTCCCTTATTAATTCTACTTTTCGATTATTTGATTGATAACAAATGAAAGTAATAATGACGTTGATACAAAATAACAATCATTATGGAACAGAAAAAAAAAAACTCAAAACACCAATCTATTAGGAATAAAAGCAGGACTTAAAAGGAAAACATCGGATACAAAAGCAAACACGTGCACTACAAAATCGTCATGCACGTATAAAAAAATTGTGTAACCAAATAAAAATGTAACCCCTTACATACTTTACGTACATATATAACAAATATATTAGTGAAGATTCAAACCAAAATAGATTACCTATACATATACTATATAACAACATTCAAGTGAAATTTCTTCATATATGTCGTTTAAACTGATTTTAGATATACATATCGTATGATATGTAATATGATATTAATTTTCATAACTATCTTTTAACATTGAGTATATAATATTCTCATATCTCTAAAGTTATCAATATTGTATTGAGCCAGAAACTTAAAATTGATTTGATTTTGGAATCGATGAAGTAAAGCAGGGTAACTAGATAAAAACTTTGATATTCTAGTCTCTTATATTTGCTATTTAGAAGTCTGGCAAGATCCAACTTCACTCAATAAAATTTTACGAATATAAACTTTGATAAAGAAAAAAGAATCATTTGCAACAAAATGATCTACACACTATGTATAAGTAGATAAGAACATGATCAAAGTTATTATAAACCTCACAATTTTATTTTCCAAATTCTAACACAGAGCTGGCTAAGAGGCCAAGCAAATCAATCTTGGACTTGCAGCCAAAAGAATTATGTATATTGAATTTTACCAAAAAAAAATTATATATATTGAATCCGCCTACAAAATGCCAAAATTTGTTAGTAGTCTAGTTGTAGAAACATTTCTAAGAATCAATGAGTGGCAGTTCTAATCCTATCACTCTAAGTTACATTTTTAATATTTTCTTGCCCCACTAAATAATAGGCCTTAATGTTTCTTTTACTTGGAGACCTGAATTATAAAAGGGCCGGCTCTGTTCCAACTCTATCTCATCTATGATGTTCGGCTATATACAAACTCTTTAATTACCAACGTAAACAATCAACTACATGATCATTTCCATCGGAATATATCAAGTATCTTTTTAAGTGTTAAAAGTGAATTCACAAATAAAAGCTATAGAATGTTTACCAAAGCGGATATATTAGTTTCATTCGCATGACAGAAACTACAGTCCACGATCTACCCTTTTCATTCATCAGAATCATGTCTCCACATCTTTTGTATACACCATTTGCCCTCACAAAACTCAACGGAAGATTCTGGAAATTCATAACAATAAACATGATTTTGATCTAAATCAGACCCTAGTATAAGAGTTTCTTTAGAGTTAAAATTAGAAGTAGAGATACCAGTGAGTCATAACCTAGATTCGAAGGAGTGACATTAGCCACGAAACAAGAGAGATATAGTGAAGACTCTACTTCTTTCTTCTTTTTCCTTTGAATCTTCGGAAGAGACTTAAATCCAATTAGTATTAGTTAAACAGATTCTCTTTTTAATATCAGTTAGAGACAAAAGAACATAATTCACCGAGGTTGTTCATGTCTAAACAAGTGGCTGTGAAAGCCAGGAAGAAGCGTCTTGAAGAAATGTTGATTTGCCATTCTCTATGCTCTCTCAGCCTTTACACTGCGATCTCAAGGAGGAAAGAGTGTAGTAAACACAACGTTTCAAGGTGAAGACCTTTTTTTTTTGAACTAGAGACTGTTTGGTTTCCACTGGCAAACACTCCTTGGAACTAGAGAGCTTTGGAAAAAGAAAACCATAGTTTAATGATTACTAGAGTAAGTGTATTCATTATGTACTTTAAAAAAAGAACTCTTTCCTAATGTAAGTGTATTCATTATGCACTTTATATACTTTTATATTAACAATCTGTACCCATTATGGTTAGGCCTGGGCATATGGGTAACCCGTTCGGGTTCGGGTAAAACCCATTCGGGTTCGGTTTGAATGGATAATGAATTTAGGGTCCATTCGGGTATTCCTATGGTTTCGGTTCCGGTCCGGTTCGGGTCTTGTCGGGTTCGGATCGGTTTGGGTAATACCCGAAGTTTAAAATCAGTTTACATACTCAAATGATCGAGAATAGAACATCAAACATGACATTTAAATTCTAAATCCAATCCAAAATAACAAAGATGACTATTTAACTCTTAAGTGTTAAGAGTAGATTCTAATTATCTATATATATACATATATAAACATATGTGTATTGCATATATATAAGTATACAACTATATAACTAATTATCTATATACATATATAAACCCAAACGTCAAAAGTCACAAAACCTAAAACCTAGGACATACATATAAGTATATAACTATATAAGACTATATATCTAATTATCTATATACATATATAAACATGTGTATTTCTTCGGGTTTGTGGGTACCCTAAATGGGTAACGGGTAATCCCCGACCCGACCCGATACCCACGGGTAATCCAATACTCTACCCAATGAGGTAATTTTCTAATACCCTAACCCGCCCCAACCCGCCCCAACCCGATTTTTTCGGTCCGGATATCGGTTCGGGTATCGGGTCCGGGTTTTTTGCCCAGGCCTAATTATGGTAATCATCATAAATCTCTCCAAGACAAGGACAAGTAGAAGTGAATACCTAAAACATGTTTCCTCAGTTGAAACAGAGCCTAAAAAGAATCTCCCTACACTACAAGAATGCTTTACCAAACTTCTTACTCGTGTTCATTGAGAAATAAATACCTGAAGCTTATTTCAGATCTTGTGTGGCCTAACTGTGGCTCCAATGCATCAATAAGATCAGACGCACATGGCAGTCTTTCAAATTTGTAGCCATGACCCATGAAGGTGGCTTGGAACATCTTCTACAGGTTGAGTTTCATATTGTTTTGGAACTTCTTTCAAAAGCCTTTGGCAACTTTGAAAAGTCACAAAAACACATGACCATATGATACAAAGAACAGAGCCGGATACAGCTTTGAGAGTTCATGAGATGACAATTTCCATACACATGCAATGCAAAAACACATTAAAACTTAAATACGATTGATCTAGTCTTCAACATATCACCCGCGGCACTAGATACACACTCCACAACAATGTGTAACAACAGAGATCACAAACTATATATACCTAATATCAAAGGATAAGAATTCTTGTGATCTAATAAAAAAAAGCAAGAAAATGTTGCTTAAGACTTAATACCATCTCCAATGTATATCTCTATTTTTTACTCTAAAATAGAGTAATAGTAACTCTATAATAGAACATGGTTTCTCTCCAATGTATCACTCTATATCCTACTCTAAAATAGAGGTAGAGTAAAAAAAAAACAGAGTTCCTCTAAATATAGAGCAATCATCTCTTTTATTCTATTTTAGAGTGGATATAGAGTAGGCTTGGAGAGAATTGTGTTCTAAAATAGAATTTATAGAAAAAAATAAAGTGGGATTGGAGATGCTCTTAACTACTGCAATTTCGAAATATGAAAAAGAAAATTTACAATTTTAGGGTTTAGAAAATTGTAAAAAGAAAATAATAATGAAAGAGAAGATTAATCTCTTGATCCTTTCCCCAGAAAGGTTGAAAAAGCTGTGCATATATTTTATGAAAAGGAATCATTGAAAGAAGAATTAAAAGAAATCTGGAGATGAGACACACATCAAAGTGTATCCAACACACTCAGGTAAATAAACAAATCTAACTTTTAAATTTTGGTTTCTACAAATTTGTGTAAGAAACTCCTTACACAAACAAATGAAACGGAACCCTAGACACAATTACTACAGCCTATAGTCGTCGAACATGCCTGTCGTAATTGAAAGATTAGGACCACGAGACCAAGAATGGAGAAGTTGTCGGAGAAGAAATTACTCGACGGACACTACATCGATTTCAGCCGTTAAGATATGGAGAAGAAATGGATAAGAGAGTTTTCTTTCATTAGTTAAAACATCAAGGGTTCTTAGTTTTTATTTTTATTTTTATCTCATTTAAAAAAAAAAAACTAATGGATAGTTCTGATTATTACAAGAAAATTTTTTGGGTTCAACCCTAAAGGTGAACCTTCCTTATTCACTCCCATTTGATTAGCCAATCAAAATACAACAATATGCCATATAATACTTTTTTAAGAAATAAATCAAAATTAAATCCAAAAACAAGAAAATTAAGGAAACAAAATCTGTATACCAATTGAAAATGAATCCTTTTAGGCAAAAGTCTGATTAAAAATTCACTAATTTTATTAATGGTTTAAGAAAGAAAAATACAACAACAAAAACAAAAGAAACAAAGAAGCTAAAAAACAATTAAAAAAAAAAACACAAATTAAATGATGTAAAGTCCAAATCAACCAAAAGAGCCACGACATTGGACTGAACCACATAGACAAATGAAACGGAACCCTAGACACAATTACTACAGCCTATAGTCGTCGAACATGCCTGTCGTAATTGAAAGATTAGGACCACGAGACCAAGAATGGAGAAGTTGTCAGAGAAGAAATTACTCGACGGACACTACGTCGATTTCAGCCGTTAAGATATGGAGAAGAAATGGATAAGAGAGTTTTATTTCATTAGTTAAAAAATCAAGGTTCTTAGTTTTTATTTTTATTTGTATCTCATTTAAAAAAAAAAACAAAAAACTAATGGATAGTTCTGATTATTATAAGAAAAATTCTTGGGCTCTCTTATTCACTCCCATTTGATTAGCCAATCAAAATACAACAATATGCCATATAATACTTTTTAAAAAAAAATAAATCAAAATTAAATCCAAAAACAAAAAAAAATTAAGGAAACAAAATCTGTATACCAATTGAAAATGAATCGTTTTAGGCAAAAAAAAGTCTGATTAAAAAACTACTTTTATTAATGTTTTAAGAAAGAAAAATACAACAACAAAAACAAAAGAAACAAAGAAGCTAAAAAAAAAAAAAAAAAAAAAAAAAAACACAAATGATATAAAGTCCAAATCAACCAAAAGAGCCACAACATTGGACTAAACCACATAGACAAATCTTCTTTCCTCTATAAATTACTTCATCTTCTCCAGTCTTCTCCACAAAGGAAACTCCATAGTCATATGTTAACTCTGTCATCGGAGGAATATGCTTCATCGCAAAGAGTCCAATGCGAACATAAGTAACACCGTTGTTTTCATACTCAATAGGCTGCCAAAAAACATTCGGCGAACAGCTGTGGTTCATGAACCGACCAACATTTCCTTTCTCCTTGGCGCTTATCAAGACTTGTGTCGGAAGATTGATAACTTCAGAGACCTGTTTTGAAGCATCTTCACGCAAAAGCTGAGGTTCATAGTTCCATATGAAGGTATGATAAATCCGAGATGTGTCGAACAAGTAATCGTCATCCTCTTCTACTTCTTCTTTTGCCTTGCTCACACCAGCAAACTCGCAGATAAAAGTTCCGGCTCGGATTGGATCCCAAGAACGTAAACCCCAACCACAGTTTGTTGTCTTGAACACTTCCAAGTGGAGTTTCAAACCGGTTTGAACCAATCGGTTTGGGCAATCGATGGGGCAGGTACAAGATTCACCGCACTCGTAAATCAATGGTTTACGACAAACCAAAATATTTTTATGGTATGGTAACTGGCCACCGTTTTTACCCATGCACGTGCAGTTTTGATGACTGCATGACTCACCTTGGCAATTATGGCATCCTAGTGCTTGACCATCAACATGGAGATCATGCTTCATACCTGAGTAACACTGAGATCTAATGTACTCGAAATCTTCTGGAATCGTTTTGTCGTCTTCATCGACTTCATTAACGAGGTGAACTGGTAAAAGCTCTTCTCCAAAAGAAAGATCTTGAAGTATAAAACCCTCTCTTGGATCAATCGATTCATGGTTCCTCAACTTTTCAACTAATTTCCATATTGCATAACCAGGAGGTTGGTCTGGTTTCCTCACCAATTTGAACCTGAACTCCTGAGAACCGGATTTTCCTGTCACAATCCAGGACCTTGATACCATGTAAAGTCCATCGTAGATATATACCTTCTCATTGTTATGCACTTCCCGTCTCACGACTCTAACGTCATTCCCTCTTCTTTCACTTGCTTCTAGAGCAAGGTTTCCTCTTTGCAAAACCTGATCACACGGTGGACCATACTTGACTTTTCTGCCGTGTCCGCTATAGATCAATGTGTCAAGCTCCTCGGTTTCATCATCGTACTTTCCTGCTGTTACCACACTTGTAGCAGCTTGACCGTCCACTGCACTCTCTGCAGCCGTCAGATAATCAATTCCGGCAACCGTTTGTTTGTGAAGACCGACTAAGCACATTTCACCCCAGTAGTAGAATATATCGCCTACTTGTACTCCAGGAACTGGACCAATTCTCCTCCTCCTGTTTGTCTGGACCCCCAATTTCGTGCAATTAGTTGACGCTGTTGTTAGGAGGTGTTTTGGATGGTTTAGTTGGCATAATCGCCGTCTAACCGCGTCAAACCGCTTCAAAACCGAACCAACTATCTCTTGATTCCCGGTTTCTCTCTCCACTTCAGTTATCCTTGAATCGAAATTCGAACAAGATTCCACCATTCTGCTGTTGGGATCATCTGTTTTTGGCTTCTTCGGTTTTTTTGAACCCTTTGGTCGGCCACGCCCTCGCTTTACTGGAACAGTACTAGGACCAGCACCCACATCATAACAGTTGTTGTTGGAGTCATCAGATGGTCTGATTGTTTGCAGCGGTGTGACCATTAGAGGAGGGGCTGCTGATGAGTCGTCCGTTTCACCATTAACATCATCGGATGGTTCTCGTTTGATTGAACCAGTGTTCAGACCAGCATCTTCATCATACCAGTCATCATACCAATCCTTGGAGTCATCAAACGGGCAAATGGTACGAAGCGGTGAGACCATTATAAGAGGAGATACTGCAGATGTTTTGTGGGTTTCATCTGCAGCATCTGAATTATATTGTTCTGTGGATTTCATCTGCAGCATCCGAAAAAAAGAAAAAAAGAACATATTATTATTCAATTTTATAATAAGATGCAATTTTATAACAATATGTTCAGATCTGAATTATATAGTGATGATACCATTGGACTAAGAAGAACTCTTAATCAAATTGGAATCTTGAAAATAGTGTCAACACATTAAACAAGCAATTTAAACAAAATAAATCACAATTTGAACATAAAAAAATGCATATATATGCCTCAACACGACCTCTATATATAAACAAATGAAATAGTTAACAACAAATAAAATCAACACACCTTAACAAGCCGAGTAAGTACGAGAGAAACGGAGTATTAAAAGAAATTTACGAAAAGGATGAAATAGTTGAAGATGCAAAATGGTGTATGATTTGAGAATGATGAAGAGTGTAAAAATAATCCTCTATTTAAAGGCAATTAGGATATATGATGTGTCCTTATTTACAAGAAGAGTGATAGCCATTAGGTTCATCTTTATCGTTCAATTTTGAGTCATTTAAAACCCCTAGATTTGTTTCTATGTTATTCAATGTATCTTAGACTACCAATTAATGTTTATACATTTTGGTCTCAAAAAATAATTAACATAAATGTGAAATATCTTTACTTTCCTTTTTAAAATAATATTTTCTGTATATATGTAGTTTATTCAAACTATCTTTAAAAAGTTCAATGGTTTGAATTATATACCCCCAAAAGTTCAATGGTTCAAAAGTTTTTCATTTTAAGAAATATATATATGAGAATTTTACTATTAACATTGAATAAGAGTTTTCCAAACGTACTTGAACAATATCGATTCAATTAATTTTGAGAAACCACTACAATATGTTATCTATTATACATGATATATGAATATGAAGCTCTTGTTGCAGTTCCTTTTCCTATAGCCATGGACTTGTCCGAACACATAAAAACCAATGTGACTTGACATATATGATAAATATTTTTTTAATGGATATTGAAATTTGCTGCAACAAAACTGAAGAAATTTAAAAAGTTTGGTCACATTATATTTTGAAGACAGTTGGGTTAAAATTTTTAAACTATTTTTCTAAACTGGAATAGAGATCAACACATATAGTGAAATAAGAAGATATTTCCTACGAAAATATGGTCATAAGATAGTGTACTTTCTTAGCAGAGCACAAAAGAGAACAAAATGGATCGAGAATGGAGTTGGATTTTCTTAGTAGAGAGATTAATTATGTTCCAGTGTAGTGGTGGGTATAGCATAAAAGTTTTCTAACAAAATGGCGATTGTTTATAAATTATGCATGTAGAGTAATGCAAGTGTCAGTAAACACTAATATTGTTATGCATCTTTGCAAGTGAACAAATTTATTTGATATTTCATTATTTACTTAAAATATAGCATGATCTAGGAAAATTTTGTGGATAATCTTTAACGGAAAAGGAGTCACAAGACTACTATAAAGCGATAACTACCTTAAATTTCTAACTACATTGACATTGAAAAAACGTTCATGCATAAGAAAAAAATGTTTGATTCATGGGGAATATTTTTTATTGATGGTTCAGAACATACAAATAAAATATAAAAGTACATTAGAGGAGATTTTAATTACGAATAGTTTCAAAAGTGATTTTGTTTCTCAGAAATGACAATAATTTTCTGCTATAGTAATATATATCACAAACAACTCTGCTCACCATATTCCTCTCATGTTTTTTTGCGACGAAACAAAATACCAAAATAGTATTTTAAGTTAGGGAAACAACGATGTTACCAAAATTTATCGGGATTGGTGAAATAAGCAAGATTACTACTTTAGAAGAAGCATATTTAATATACGATAAAAGAAACTACTGCCTCTATTCCTAAAAAAAAAATATTTTAGTTTTTTTAAACACAAACTAAGAAAAAGTAAATTTTAGATTTTTTTAATTATGTCTTTGTTAGTTTAATATTATTAGTTCTACTTTTCTCTTCTTTCTATAGATAACAAATGAAATCAATAATGATGTTGATAAAAAACATCAATCACTATGGAAAAAAAAAACCAACGCATTAATCTATTAGAAACAAAAGCAGTACTTAATTGGAAAAATATGTGATCTTAAATTTGTCGAAAACGACAAAAGCAAACACGTGCGCTACAAAATCATCATGCACACGTATAAAAAAGAGATAATTGGGTGAGAGACGTTATTGGGGAAGTTATTTAGTTTTTTAGTAATTTTACACAAAGCCAAGAACGACGATAATTTTAGCCTCTCTTTTGCCCAATTTTAACCCCACTCGGTTTTGATATTTAGACTTTGAATCAGTCCATTGCGTGAGACTAATGAATTGTTGTTTGTTGTGGATGTCCAAAAAATTTTGTAAATCTATGTATATATCTTGCATATTGTCTCCCCGTCGATTAGATAGAATATCTAATAAATATTTGTGGTTACATGTATACAAAAGTTAATAACGGTCTATATACATGTTTTTATGTATGCAAATGTTAATAACGCTCCATGTACGTATTTGCATATATATAAATGCTAAGAACGATCTATATATATATATATATATATTTACATGTACACATAAAATGCACTATTTAACACCATAATTATTTCTAACGCTCTATGTATATGTTTATCTGTATACAAATATCATAATCGTGTAAAATATTCTTTAGGTGTCCATGCAACTAGGTTATTTGTTTAAAAAATTAAAAAAACTATTTATTGAGTCCATGCAACTATGTTAGTTGTCTATATTCAAATTTGAGTTAGCTCAAGTTAAGATCTGTTGCATTTATTAACGATTACTTTGTTCCTTTTGTCAACGCGGCAATGTCAGTTCACGTGGCATCATTTATTATATGGCAGATTGTTCTTTCGGTTCCCTTAAGAGATACAATCCTTCACCACGCGCATGGCCAAACGCACCTCTGGTTTTTTCGTTATTAACTGAAATTTCAAGCCCAATTATATTCTTTTTTTGGGTCTTGTCTCCAACGATTTCTACTAACGTCTTTTAGCTAATTTCCTCTCCCAATAATGTCTTTGCGCTAATACACCCTATAAAAAAATGGTGTTACCAAATTAAAATCTTAACCCATGCATACTTTACGTATATATATATATATATATATATATATATATATATATATATATAACAAATATATTAGTTAGGATTTAAACTAATTAAAATTGATTACCTATAACATATATAACAACTATAACCTTCAAGTGTAATTTATTCATCGATGTCGTTTAAATAATTTTAGATATGCATATCATATGATATGTAATATGATGTTAATTTCCATAACTATCTTTTAACGTTGAGTATATATTATATAATATTACGCTCATATCTCTAAATTTATCATTGTATTGATACCTTATCTTAAATTGATTTAATTTGGGGAATCGATGAAGTAAACCAGAGTATAACTAGATATAAACTTTGATATTCTAGTCTCTTCTAAAAGCTATTAGAATGCTTCCAAAGTATATATATGCATTATATTATTTAGTGGTACAAAAAATGGAGACTTATTCATGATGTTTCCAAAGAACTTAGGCGGAGGTAGCAAATAAATTTTAATTCCGCCAAAAACAACAAAGGAAGTTGTTATTTATGCTAATTCAAAGAGAACCAACTTCCTTATGCCCATTTAGAGAATATCTTTATATTTTTCCTCCTAAACTTTGAAACTAAGCTTCAGGAAACATTGCGTGACGTTATCCTTGGAACTTTTGGGTTGGAAAGCAAGACAAAGAAGAAGTGAATTTTTGACATTTTAATGATTTGTTCCAGCGTGTCTATGTGGAGACACTATGTTTGGAAAAAGAACAAATTATTAGAATTTCCACATAAGAGCAGCTATAGATGAGAAGACATAAGTTCCACACTGCAGACAAACTAGATAGTGCATGAGTGGATTTTTTCAATGTGGATGAAGAAAGTTACTACTCGGTGATTAAGTTCGAAGGCGGAATATTGAAAATGCCTCTTTTCTTAGTGGACCACAACACCGAGAGGGTTACTAGGAATTTAATGGCACTCGAGCAATGTCATTACCCTTTTAATACTTATATTTTGTGACTAGGGCCTGATTGGCAAGTGCTTTAGAGTCTTTACAAAGCAAAAAAATTTCTAAAGATTTAAAATACATCCAATCAAGCTTTAGAAGCTTTTGGCTTTCTTTTTTTTTTCACAGCCAAAATATTTCCTTAATTCATTTTTTTGGCTGTAGAAAGCCTTTTTTCCTAAAGCACATAATTTTCAACTTTCCAAAATTTTAAATTCTACAGCCAAAATACTACAGTAATAAAATCTACAGCGACAGCAAATAAACCTACAGTCATATTTCTACATCAAAAAATGTAAAGCTACAGCTGTTACCAATCAGGCCATCACCTTCTTTGGTTTCCTCATCAAGATCTAGTTCAGATTATATTAATAAATAATGTGGGGAGTTAAAAAAAAACATTTGCAACATTTTTTTTTTCAACAATCCAACTGTTAGTCAATTTAATTTAATTTTGGTTTCAGTTTCCTAACTAATAAGGCTCTTTTTTAAGAGAAAAAAAAACGGATTCACTATTTGGTTTCCATCAACGATTAGATCTCAAATTTAGTTTTTTTAGGTTTAATTAAACAAGGTTGGACATGCATATTTAAGTTACCTTTTTTATTTTTTTCTTTTATTTCTAAGATTCTTACCACATTAAGTTACATTAGTTACACGTCCGGACGAGATGTGCAAACTCGTTTATCGTGGTTAAAACTGATATCAGTTTAGCATACGACATGATCGAGTGGAGATTTTTGGAAGAAGTTCTTCGGACAAAAGGTTTTGCTACTTGCTGGATAACATGGATAATGGAGTGCATACGATCAATGTCTTTCTCTGTTTTAATCGAGCCCGTACGGACTTTTCGATGCAAGCCGTAGATTACGACAGGGAGATCCCTTTTCTCCATACTTATTCATACTATGTGCAGAAGTGTTGAGCTCTCTAATGACAAGTGTCAATATAAAAAGGAAAAATCAAGGAAAACGTGTTAGCAACAGAAGACCTTCGGTATCACATCTATTCATGGCTAACGATTCCTTATTTTTTCTTAAAGCAGATCATAAAAACACTACCAATCTGCTACAAATATTTAAAGAGTATGAAGCTGCATCGGGCCAAATGATCAACCTAGAGAAGTCTTCAATAACTTTTGGAAATAATGTGTATCAGCATACAAGGAATGGAATCATGAGAAATCTTCAAATACCAAATATTGGCGGTAGTGGGAAGTACTTGGGACTGCCAGAACAATTTGGGAAAAGGAAAAAGGAAATGTGCCAGTACATACAAGCCCGAGTACAACAAAAGATCGATGGTTGGCAAACAAAGTTCCTCTTAGCTGCCGGGAAAGAAACACTTATCAAAAGTATATCATATGCAATGCCGGTATATTCAATGAACTGCTTTCAACTACCAATGGAACTTTGCTCCGATATAGATAGCATGGTTGCAAGATTTTGGTGGGGCTCAACAAAAGACAAAAGAAAGCTATCATGGGTAGCTTGGCGAAAGATGGCCTCATCAAAAAAGAGTGGTGGAATGGGATTCCGAGTCCTGCATTTATTTAACCAAGCTCTTTTAGCCAACCAAGTCTGGAAAATTGTACATCGACCTAAGTGCCTCCTCTACCGCATACTCAAAGGCCGATATTTCCGTGATGGCAGCATTTTCTCGGCTACTAGAGGTATGCAGCCATCTTATGGATGGAATTCACTCCGTTTTGGTAGGGACCTACTAAATACTAAATATTTTTAGTTATGTTTTTGTTAGAAACTCACTTTAAAAAAGTGACGTCTTCTACCGTATTTGTTGTAGTGACAAACCACACTCAAACTGCACCGTACTACTAGATTTGCTTGATTGCACCGCTCAATCTACTGTTTCCATTTTCAGCCTAACTAGGTTACTTTATGCCTCATGTGCGGTTTGTTTAATACTCCTTCTGTTTCACAAAGAGTGTCATTTTGACACATTTCACACATATTAAGAAATGAGTTAAATACACAAACATACCCTTAATAATTTAAATACAAGGATTTTAGTTTTGGATAAAGGGCAAATATAGAAATTAGTTACAAAAGTTACATTGAAAATGTAAAACGACTTTAATTTTGAAACAAAAAATTAATTCCAGAACGACACTCTTTGTGAAACGGAGGGAGTAACAATTACCATTGATTTATAAATTTGATTTGATTTTACTATATTATACAAAACTAAAATATCACAATAGTTTTCGATTTTCATAACTTATGTAATTATAAGAAGTGTGTGGAAAGATATAAATTAAATGTAAAAATTTGTGTACAATAAATTAAATGAAACGATTCCATTGTTGAACACCTTCAAGGTAAAAAAATTTTTCGGGATTTTTAAAAGTTATTAATTAATTATTATTAATTTTTTTAGTAAAAATAGTGCATGTTTGGTCAGTTCTATTTTATTAATATTAACTAATTATTATTAATTTTAAAAGTTTTGTTTTATGTGGCGAGGAAGTAGAGTCAAGAGATCGCTTGTTCTTCTTTTGCTCTTACTCCTCCCAGGTTTGGTCAGTTCTAGCTCATAGAATCCTTGATCATAGGTTTACAGTAAACCGTTTACTACGTGCTAGGGGTCTCTACTTCCCTTAATTACGGCTTCGTCTACTTCACCTCTACACACCTTTACATTGAGGTCGGCGGGAACAAGCCCGGTCCGATAAAATCTGGGGCCAAATACGGAAAAAAAATTTGGGATTTTTTTAAAAATAAAAACTGCTAAAAAATTTTTTTTTGCTAATTATGGAGTATTTACAATTTTTATTTAACAATATCTCTTAATCTTTGAACATTGTTTTCTAGTTATAGGATTTTTTTGCTAATTATGAGGCTTTTTAAAAAATTATGGAGTATTTTTTTTTATTTTGAGGCCTATTTGAGACTTCGAAAAAAAAAAAAACTACATAAATGGGCCTCAAAAATGTGAGGCCCAATACAAATGTATCTTACAAATGGGTGTAGGGCCGGGCCTGGGCGGGAACGTAATGGTCGTCTTCATGGAGAGACACTAATACCTGCCCATAAGCTTACGAGAATGATCGATAAATGTGTTTGTAATCGGTTAAGCACCATAGCTTTGACAGGTGCTTACGAAGGTGGAATGCGGTTCTGGTTCCAAACTCACAATCATTAGTTTCCCAAATCCAATGTTGTAATTCTCTATCTTTTTTTGAACATTTGGTTCTAAAGTTGTATTCATTGTAAAACAGTTTTTTAGTGAATATAATTTTACATTCATTTAAAAAAAAATAGTGCATGAAAGATTAAAAAATAGTTAAAATTAGTTTTAAGACGTTTACAACAAAATTAAAATTAAACTATTTTACAAATTGCAACGCAAAATAATTTATAATTGTTTGTACTATGCAGTTTTTCTTACTCTTGGTTAAATGGTCCTAAATATTTTTTAATGTGATTTCTTATTTTTATTTTCTAGTTACAAGTCGATGATCTCATGGAGCTTCATATCTCTTCTCTGAAACCCTATTGGGAATACTTGGGTTTGTTTGAACGGAACAAACTTGGTTCCTAGTGAAACTATATCGATTAAGCATGGTGCAGAAATTAAAATAGATCTACTCCTACTCCTCGTGTTTATCTCTTAGCTTGCCTGAACATACTTGATACACATGGTTTTTAACTTTCTAGATCAGCCATTGGTGGATGATTGCTGTGAGTTAAAGCACGTAATAGTTACTCACAACGTAACTAGATTTCAACACTACATGACCACATGATACAAAGGACACAAGTCACACAACTAGACATAGCTTTGGGAGTTCATGAGACAACTATTTTCATAGACATAGCTGTCTGGTCTTGAGAATATAGCGAGTGAAAGTTAATTAAGAACAAAAACAAAAACTAAAACTAAAGTACAAGTGATCTAGTTTTCAGCATGCCGTGACACACAAAATGCAGACTTGAGAACAAAGGGTAAGATCAATGATCACAAAAGCTAATATATACAAAACCAACATTACGTCTCAGATATCCAAAGCAAGATTTTCAGCTTGGCACTCAACGCAGAGAGCCAACACGGGAGATGTGCTGAGGATTGTCACACGATTCTGTGTTGAGGATCTCCAAGTATTGAGGTCGTCCTCCGCCCTCCCTGTATGTACTCCATATTTGTAGGCAAAAGTTACATTTCCTGGCTCATTGGTGAACAAAATGGAGTTGCCACTCACACCACAGCCATCGGGAAGCTCCTTAGCCGAGCAACAGACATTTCCAAAGTGTCCCCCAATAAATAAAACACGGTTTCCCAAATCACTGACCACAACCCATGTACCAGTCTCCTCATCTAGCCTGCTCACTCTACATGTGAACCGACTAAAATCCAGTACATCATCATCAGGAATTGGGTTAAAATGCTCAACCAGGAAAAGATCATCATTGCCAGATGGAATCAGATAATCGATTGAGCGCAGAGGCTGTGAAGGCATCAGGGGAGTCACTTCCAGTGAATGAGGATCGATAACGACAATTTTTCCGGTTAAAAAAGCCGCATAAAATTTGCCTCTAAAAGTGACTAACTCCATGCATTGATAATCTGGGACATTTGTAAGCCGCTTCCACCTCATTTCGGCACTTTTTAACACCAACAAAACTTTGTTGTAGTTGAGGAGCACAACGAATTCCCGTCCTTCTCCCTCCTTGTTTAGCGGAAGGAAAGCCACACCTCTGTAATATCTTCTCCGCTCTTCCCAACCGATCATTCGATACAGATATCCCAGAGGGATAATCTGATAGTCGAGAATGTTTATCAAGGTTGGATCAGATCCTCGGATCTTCACTTTCACTGAGCATTGAAGAGGAGATGGAAGCTCCATATGATCCTCTGACTCATCTCGGCCTATTCCTCCCAGAAAATACTGGGATGGTAACGCAACATCAGCATCAGGAGCTCGGAGTCTAAACAGGAACAAAGGGACCTTCTTGAGGGTGCACAAATCTTTGCTTTCGAGAGGGAAATCGGTGAACAAGGGAAGAGAAAAACTTTGACGTAACAGGCAGGAAGGAAAGGGAAATAAGGATCGCCACGAACGACAAACCGATCGAGCATGAACAACATCGAAACCGTAATCCTCCAGATTCTTGGAGATAAGAGACAGTAGCTCCACAGGGAGCTGAGACCAGTCTGGCATCATTGATGACATCTTCTTTCTCCTTCACAGGTTTGCTGATAAAGACAGAAACCACTGCAGTTTCGAAATCTGAAGGAAATATTACAATTGTAGGGTTTAGGATATCGTAAGCAAACATGAACATAGCACCAAGAAGATTTCTCTAAGAACCTTATACAAAATTACTATAGTCTATAGCCAATTCAAGTGAGCTTCGATTTCAGTCAGGGGAACTCAAAAAAGAAACATACCTGTAGTAGTTGGAGACTGATTACGACAAAGAAACCAAGGATGGAGAAGTTTGTTAGGAGAAGAAATTACTCTGTTTTGATTTTGGGAGATGATGATGAAGAAACTAACGACGTCGTTTCTAGTAAATAAGAGAAATAAATTAATTCCGGTTCAAGGTGTCGGTTTCATCCGGTTTGTACACAACGTGTTAGTTTTTCATGTAGACACTTGTGCATTTTTCAACGTGTTCCACTGCTGAATGTTAAGCATTTTCTTTTCTTTATACTTTTGGGGTTTCAAGTCGATGATCGATGTACTTATCTGAGAACAATGTTAGAATAGTTATGGTGGTAAAGGAGGAAAACCATGAAGCTGAATCTGATGAGTCTGTGTAATCACAGTCTGAATTTCCTGACGTACTCATATATTCTTAAATGACTATTGCAGGTTTTGATGGCGACAAATCGTATTGATATTCTGGATCAAGCTCTTCTCAGGCCTCGAAGGATTGATAGAAAACAATTGAATTTCATAATCTTAATGAAGAGGTAATGCTTGTGCTTTTAGAAAATGATATTACAAGTAAGTTTAACCATGAGGTAGCAACTTTGCTCTGTTGTTTTAGGTGATATGAAGACTTGTGATTTAGACTATCATTTGCTGCATTGAAAACTTGTCTTTATCTCCATGCTCATTCTACCCAAGTGAGGCAGGACGGTTTTGGCTAATGTATGTTTCTAATTGTGGTGCAGTCACGTTTTGATATCTTGAAGATACACTCGAGGAAAATGAATTTGATGCGTGGAATCGATCTGAAAAATATTGCAGAGAAGATGAATGGTGCTTCAGGTGCTGAGCTTAAAGTAAAGTGTTTCTATTCCTCTGCTTCTATCTTGTTCTCTCTACAATTAGCCTCTCTCTTATGTTTTTGGTTATTACGGTCAGGCTGTGTGCACGGAGGCGGGAATGTTTGCGCTGCGAGAGAGGAGAGTACACGTGACCGGTGACACAGGAAGACTTTGAGATGGCGGTGGCGAAGGTAATGAAGAAAGACACAGTTTCTTTACTTTACTGTTTGTTGTTGGTTCTGAAACCTTTTTTCGGTTGGCTCATTAAACATTTAAAAACAAAGTTTTACTACTTAAACACTAGTTTATATTTTCACTAGATATGGACCCGTGCGTTGCACGGGTTACCGTTCGAAATTGTCATTTTTAGTTTTTATTTTTATAAGCTTAACTAAAATTATATAAAAATATGATTTAATTTTTAAAAAGGTAATATTTTAATTATTTTTTAAATATAGATTAATTATGAATAACGTGAAATATAAATATTATTTGTAATTTTGTTTATTATATGTTACATTATGATATTTAATAAATGCTCCTATGTGTATTATTGAAATTTAATACATTATCTATATTCATCGGAGGAGTGTATAACACTTTCTAATTTCAATGTGGGCAAGATGAAAACAAAATTGTGACAATATGAGACACTCTATAACCACATCATGTAACTTTACTTGATAATATGAGAAATCCTCAAAACAAAAAGAAAAATTCAGAAGAAATTAGGGAATATGGACTAAATAACCTAAGACTATTCTACCAAAAAAAAAAAAATAACCTAAGACTAAAAAAAAACTAAGAAAATAATATTAACTAAATAATGTCTATTTGCTATGTGGTTTTTGTCAATTTTTGGCCCATATTACTCATGAGTTATTCGTTGTCTCTTTTTTCTTTCCTCTCGCCGGCGAGAAGTCTCAAATCTCTCTTTTTCTCTCATTAGATTTCTCTTATTTTTGCTTGATCTCCTCTTTCTTTTTCTTTCTCTCCATCTCGTTGGATTTCATCACCACCATATTTTTTTTCTTTTTCCATATCACTATTTCTCTTCTTCGTCGGGCATCACCACCGAGTCTCACTACTCCGACCCACCAGACCACCACCACAACTGAATCTCACAACTATCACAATCATCATCACCATCAATACTAAATCTCGTTAATTCCAACCCACCACCTTCATCAATATTTACCACCACCACCACCAAACTTGAACCACCGTCATCAACACCAACACCACCGTTACCGCATCTTCCCCTCTTTCCCCAACTGCTCTTTTTTCTCCACCTTCTTTTTCTCCTCCAACATTGGGTCGAGCTTTTTCGACAACAACTCTATTTTATATCCATCGCCGTTCATAATTCTTAGTTTGTCCCTGTCGCCATATATTCTTAATTTATCTATTTATCTTTTTGTTTATCTATAGAGGTGAGTATTTAGAATTATTATTCTTCTATGATTAATAATTGATTATAAAATTTCTTTATTTATCATATTATACTATAAGATTGTATAATTTCATAAATCTTTTTTTAATAATCTTTTTCTTTTAGAATTAGTAGCTTTAAATTAGAATTAACCACTGCGATTAGAAAGGGTTCCGCGATTGTAATTCACAGTCATTTCTTCAAGATGTTTCTGCATTCCCAAAAGTAAATAATTTTTTAATATTAATTTTTATTTAATAATATACATATAGTTTCCTTATAATTATTTTCTTTACTTTTAATTTTTTTTATAAGATATATATGTATAATTGCCTTAATTTTTTTTCTTAAATTATTTTTATTTCAAAAGATATATCTAGTTTCCTTATATTTATCTTCTTTAAATTTTTAGAATTTTTTTTTAAATAAGATATATATGTATAATTTCTTTATAAATTGTTTTTGGTTTTACACGTTGATAAATTTGTCATGTACGTATAGTTTCCTTATATTATTTTAAAAATAAATAAAAGGAAACTTTTGTTTTACACGTGTCAAAATCTGAGATCGATAGATTTGCCACGTGTCACGATCCTATGAGTTATTAACTTTGAAAACCATACTTTATATAATAAGATGGTCTTTAAGCAGAACATTCCACATTTAAAAGTTTTGGTATAGGCTCTAATTGTGGTTTTGGAATATAACAAAATCAAACGGTTGATAAATATTCTGTTAATTTTGGGTCGTTTCGGTTTTCCAATTGCGGTAGTTTTTGTCGACCCAAAAAATTCAAGTAAAGTCCTCTTGTGTTTATGATAACTAAAGTACACTTGCACTACACTAAGATGAATGCAAAAGTATGCGGACTTGACCCATCTTATTATCCTGCAATGCACAAGTCTTCCAAGTTGTAGCCATGACGGTGGCTTGAAACACCATGGGTCAGAGCACATATGCTGCAGATCGAATATAATGAGTTTGGATATTCCATCTTGTTGGTGTAAGTTTGAAAGAAGACTATGAAGATTAAAGGCTTGAGGCCCAAGACATTATGAAACAAGTCGGTTTCATAAGAAGATTCTAGAGATAATTTTAAGACCTAATCCTAATGTGTTTAAGTCGGTTTAAAGTCTCTATATATAGAGGTACCAAGGTGTGGTAACCCTATGAGTTTTTAGAGAGTTTAGAGATTGTGTAAGCTTAGGGTTTTTGAGTTAGTTTTCCTTGAGCAATAAAGAAAAGTGTTCTTTAGATTACATAGTCTTGTTCTTATATCATAGTGTTTGATTCAATAATTGGTATCAGAGCGTGATTGAATCATACTACTTAGGTATACGATACGAAATCAGAACTACAAACGTGTGTGTGATACAAGAATACGTGTTCTTGTACAAAACCTAAAACATGGGAGATATAGTCCTTGTGAAACCTAAAGAGGTCAATTCTTCCTCTATACAATGTCCGATGCTCACTGCTACGAATTATACAGTGTGGACTATGAGGATGAAACCGATGCTTAGAGTAAACAAAGCATGGGAAGCCATCGACCCCGGATCAACTGATGGAGACTTGAATGACTTAGCAAAAGCTCTTCTCTTCCAATCAATACCAGAATCACTAATTTTGCAGGTTGGAGAATACAAAACTGCAAAACAAGTATGGGATGCCATAAAAACAAGAAATCTAGGTGCAGATAGAGTTAAAGAAGCTCGACTTCAAACTCTAATGTCTGATTTTGATCGTCTTAAGATGAAAGAAACAGAGAGTATTGATGAGTTTGCAGGGAAACTCTCAGAAATATCCACCAAAGCTGCAGCCCTAGGAGAGAAAATTAATGAAACAAAGTTGGTCAAGAAGTTTCTTGGATCTGTACCAAGAAAGAAATACATTCATATTGTAGCCTCACTTGAACAAGTTCTTGATCTCAAGAAAACAGGTTTTGAAGACATAGTAGGGAGACTTAAAACCTATGAAGAAAGAGTTCTTGATGAAGAAGAAGAACCAACAGCTGATCAGGGAAAACTCATGTATGCAAATTATGAGTCACAGTCATACCAAGGTAGCTATGGAGGTGGAAGAGGCAGAGGAGGACGATATCCTCAAGGAGGAAGAGGACGAGGTAGGTTTAATAATCAACAAAACAGAAGGCAAGAAAGGGACAAATCTAAAGTAGTTTGCTATAGATGTGACAAGCTGGCTCAGTTTGCTTCTAATTGCCCGGATAGATTGCTTAAGCTTCAGGAAGCACAAGAAAACAAAGATGATGAAACACATGAGGCAGAGGAGTTGATGGTACATGAGGTGGTCTACTTAAATGAGAAGAATTTCAAGCCAAGAAACTTTGAGACTCAAGAAGATGGAAAGAATGTTTGGTATTTGGATAATGGTGCAAGCAACCATATGTCAGGAAACAGAGAATTCTTTTCAAAACTTGATGAAACAGTCACTGGAAAGGTGAGATTTGGAGATGACTCAAAGATAGACATAAAGGGAAAAGGATCAGTCTGGTTTGTTAGCAAGAACAATGACAAGAAAATACTTGCAGATGTATACTTTATACCGGATTTAAAAAG